GCCATGTGCCTTGGCGAGTCTGCGGTGTACCCGCAACACTGGGGTTTGTGTCGAGATCAGAAGCATCAAGACCATTGTGCTGTTGATATTGGTCTCCATAGAATTGGTGAGGGAGCTGATGCTGGGCGAAGGGATGAGGTGCGTGATGGGAAGGGTTCTGTGGATGATGTTCATTTTCTGGCAATCCCCAGCGTGACTTCAGCATGTTGGGATTCAGGCCTGCGTGATCGCTCACATCACGGTAATCATCCTCCAATTGTCGGTCGATCGAGTTTTCCAGATGGTAATCGGTATGTGTCATTTGGTCCAATCCTCTTTGCAGAGTTTCGCTCAGATTATGACCGTGGCCTCGAGGCGTGGGTTGGGCAATTTCGACGTTCGATGCATGGAAATGATCCGGTTGTCCATTGACCGGTGTCTGAGGGGCCTGGTATGGCAGAGCTTCCTGGTGCATACCATGGGCAAATTGATCATCGAACACACCCTTATCGTTGAACCCGGGGTGGAAAGACCCTTGGTCATGTAGCGGAGACACTGGTGATAGCATGGAGGGAAAGTTGCCCATTGCTCCAGGGCCAACCGAGGAAGTTCCCTGGCGTGCGTTTATGAAGCCTTGGGGAGTCATAGATCCCTGAGTAGGAGGCGTGGGCTGATATTGGAAGGGGAATCCACCCATCATATTTTGTTCCGCGCCCATAAATGGCGTCTGCATACCGAATTGTGAAGGTGATGCCATGGAGCCCATCGCACCAGGCGTAGGCATTGATGATTGATTGAAGTGAGGCGAGAATGGGTGAATATGGCCGAGCGGGTTGCTTGCTGCAGACGCAGTAGGAATCGGCGGGGATGCGATAAGGCCTGGGAAAGGTGTACCACTGGGATTGAGCGAGTAATCGGGTGAAATGGATTGTTCGGGCTCATCGTCGCCGAATGATACTCCAAGGGCGCGTAACTTTTCTTCCTGGAGCTCGGTGATATAAGACTCCCACTTGGCCCTGTCTGGGAAGTTCACGACGAGCGGTTGGCTCTTGGAAATTTCATGGAGGTCGTATGGGTCGGGATATAGGGGTCGACTGAGACCTCCTAGAGTCGTCGTTGTGGAGGGGTCCTCGGAATCACCAATAGTGAATCCACGAACGTCGTACCCTTCATTCTCCCATTCTTGCATTCGCTGCTGAACATCGGCTGGTGTTAGGAGACGATACCCAGTTTCCGAGCCTCTCTTATCATCGTGTGGCAACTCGATTATACAGGCTTTCCCGCGCCAATTCAGCTTCTTTCTCTGCCGTGGTGTTTGGGTGGCTGATCTGGTGATATTAGTGACCTGTGTTTTTAGTGGACCCGGGTTGAGTGGGTCTTCCATATTTGCAGCTTCCTCCGTCGCGTTTGCGGGCGGAGGAGGTAACGGCTTTTCAACCGGCGAGTTTACCTCGACGGTAGGTGTGCTCGGGTCTGACATGTTGTTTTGCGGTGGATCTTTATCGTAAGCAAACCCCCAAAAGTCCTCCTGTCGCAGGGTATCTGCGCGTTTGTGCAATGTTTTGTTGACTTTTGCACGCCCAGCGGCTTTTTTCCCAACGAAATCAGAGAGTTTTGGAGTTTTCAATAGATCGTCGGACCGAAAGTCGTCTTCCAGACCAAGCCAGTCGTCCGAAGCGTCGTCGGCAAAATGATTCCTCGCAGTGATGAACGAAGGCGCTTCACTTCCTGAGTCGTCGCTGAGCCAATTGCTGCGCTCCGTTCTAGGTTGACCGGTAAGATACTGGTTGATCCAATCCTGCGTAAAGTCCCGTATCGATTTATCTCCGTTATTGGCGGGGATATCGAGGTCCACGGGTTCAAGTGTGTCGTCGTTGGCGGCACTCAATCTCCGCAACTCGGCGTGGTTGACTACTGACGAGACAGGCGAGCTGGGACCAGATCCGGGGTCGATCACAGAGATATCAAGCTGGCTATTGGTCACTGACAGTCTCCGTGTGCTTGGTGCTGCATATGGGGATCCCCACGCGGTGGTGTAGTAGATGCTGCTTTCCGCCTCGCGATTGGCCGGCGAAGAGGACCGAGATTCTTCGGTTGCGCGATATGAGGATAAAAATGGGAGAGGCGGGGGTTCGAGGGTGATGCTCCGCGGAGAGGTTCGTTGACCGGGGGAACCAACGGTCGACGGACTCGAGTCTCCTGATGGCGGAGAGGACAAGAATAGTGAGGGAGCCAGACGCGATTCACGGATGAGGCGCGTGTCCCGCGAGTGGAACTGTGGAGAAGGCGCCGAGATGGCGGAAGAGACGGAGTGATCTAGATCTGTAGACATCCAGCGATGTTAGACTGGCATATTTGGAGGGGTGAAGAATGAAAGAGCGATTGAATCAAGGGAGTTGAAAAATAAAGTCCAAATCGCGTGGCGCGGAGTAGGGACCCCAATTCCACAATTCCGAGAAGGGTCTAAAGAGAAACAACATCAATGCATACACACACACCTTCCGTGTCGACTCCTGCAGCAAGCACTTGCTTGCCGCTCCGCTTATCGTCCAGAATGTTGACGCATGGAAATCAAACCGGAATTGAAGACCACCGCTGGCAAGACAACCTGGGGCGAGATAATGTACAGGTTGTCGTTAAATTTTTTTTTGGAGAGGCTCGCTGTGTAAGGAAATAAAAAGAATGGAGAGATCAGAAGCACGCTCAAGTCTGAAGCATCAAAGACGAGGATGGGGAACTAAGGGGAAAAAAAGGTCGGACGTCACGGGTATTGGATCGTCGTACTGGGTACCTGCTAGAGGGTGGGTAGTCCGAGCTAATGCGGTGTACAGGGTACGATAGGCCCATTCAACGCTTATTACTTCAAGTTGGTTAGCGCAGACCGAGGCCGTTGGCTTAGCTTGTCTCGTTGACTTTGACAGAATTGCTATGCTACATATGTACTCCGTACGCATAACGCACATGTACCCGACGCTGAATCTGAAATGACTCTTGCCTTGAGGTTCAAAGTTAATGAATTGTATATTGTATATTGTGTAGGGAGTACTCTGTACTCATGGACTTCCCCTTGCTTGGTAAAAGTAAAAGTAAAAGTAAACAATGAAAACTGGAGATCTCAGAGATTCAGGGGTAGAAGGACAGCTTTCCATGGATTCGGCCATACCGTACCATCCCCGAGGGCCGTGTTAACTATATGACTAATGACATGTTTCTCTATTGGCCAATCAGCGTGTATCGTGCAACAAATGAGTTCCAAGGTTCGCAGCTTTCACTCTGGTTGGTAGGAATTTGTCTACGGGCGCCGGGTAATGCCTATTGCGCACTCTCCAGGCTAAACCCCTTCTGCTTCTGGCCCTTATCTTTTTCTCTCCTTTATGCGCTTTAGTTGAGACGCTATATGCTACTGTTTATATGGAGTACCTCTACGGAGTAACAAATTTTCATGTACCTCCCTTAGGTTATCGAATGATCATCTTAACCCCTTTTTTTTTTTTTTCTGTTCACTGTAATAAATTGGTTATGATCATAGAGTTGATGGTACGGTATAGATCGCGTAAGTGAAAGGTAGGAATGTGCAACCCATTAGGGGGTTGAGCTCATGCATTATGAGTCATATTAAACAAGTTCATGTACAGATTAATTCGAGGTAAATTGAAATTATTTCCCACTGAAGATGGTCCTATTCCGATGTACAATGGCATCCAACTCCACTCCATTTGAGGCTGGGCTCGACGTCTTTGGAAGGTTCGAATCAGTTGATTTCAGTCATTCGAATATACTATCTTGTCTATCTTGCCTTCTACTCGTTTGCTAGTCTAGTCTCCCTTTCGACTGAGATCACTATACGGGAAATCGCGCAAAGTCTCTCGTAGCTTCCTACAAAGCAACAAGCTGATCTGACTCTCTAGCCAACAACCACACAAGGTTGTCACTAATAAGGATCTATATCACTCGTTAGATCCTGCTCGTGGTCTTTACTTCTCTTCAAGCTGCCGTTTTGATCCTCTACGAAACCAACTCTGGCGTTCGCACATCCACCTCCATAGCCGCAGCCGCACTTGTCCTCGTCGACGCCTTAGATAGGACTATGCTGGCTTTCTCACATTGAGCATGTTCGCTCTATTCGGCCATCTTCGCTAATTAATACATCTAGTTGTCATTTTTCTATTTGACATTGCGCACACAAGAACACAATGGATGCAAGGTGCTATCCAACACATCGCAGCCGTGTTTACAGTAACAGTAAGAGTGAAGCTTGCCATTACAATTGCAGAAGCAACCGAGAAGCGGGATATCCTCTTAGTGCCATACCAGGGCATTCACCCGGAGGTGGTCGGTGGCATCTATAGCCGAGCGTTTTTCTGGTGGCTAAACACCCTATCGGCGATAGGGTTTCGACGGGTCATTCACGCAGATGACTTATTTCCAATAGAAGAAGAGATGAAATCAACCTCTCTGCGTCGGCGAGCCCAGCTCAAATGGGCCAAATCCAATAAATCTCGCTCTCGTGCATTATTCTGGTCGACGTTGAATGTGACGTGCTGCTAGCTAGTCCTTTGTGTCTTTCCTCGTCTCTGCTTGATTGCATTTCGATATTGTTTGATACTTTCTATATCGCATAATCAGTTATCCCATAGTATTACTAGCTAGCATAGTATCTCTTTCCTCGCTCTTGTACAACACATACCACGATAAATTATATTGTGCCTTTTCATGATCTCTCTATCTACTATCGTTCGAGTGATTGGGCTTTTGAATTGGTTAGGAAATCTCCTGCTACTGATTTGGATAAAATAGTGAAGAAACTAGTCAGCTTTCGAGATGCGATATGATCAGTCTTCATAATCTGGCGAAGTCTCTGATAATTCATCCTCACGATATGGGTGGGACGTGTGATATTAGCATGGCTGGATAGTATTCATAGCCTATCGTAGTGATGGTTGTACTGCAATAAATCTCGTGTAAACAGGAAAGAAACTAGAATTCGGAAGCTATTTTTTGGTTCTAGAAAAGACAAAATGTCAAACCTTCGGCTTACGGCCAACCATCAGATACATGGGCGTGAATAGCTTCTCCTTCCCACCAGCAACAAGAGAGTCTGCCCCCTTGCCAAGGGAATCGGCAGTCTTCCGTGAGCCCTTTGGTGCAACACCAATCATCTCGAGTGCACCAATAATACCATGCGCCAGTCCACGGCCAACATGGGTCATGCGGATCAGCGTCGGCAAGTCCCAAAGGCTCTGCGTGTATCTCAAATCACCGCTGAGGGGCCAGTACCATGGAAGCTCATCGTTGCGATCGGCAAGATCCTCATTGACCTCGAGCTCGAACCCAGCCTTCTTCATCGCCTCTAGGGCGACAGAGATCTTCTCCATGTTGCTAATCCCGTTACCTTGCTCGATACCAAGACGAATCGTACGGTGGCGGAGGTCATCGTTGTTGTAGTCCTCGGTCATGAGCCACTCATAGACACCAAAGACACCGCCAGGCTTAAGTACCCGGAAAATCTCGCTGTAGATGCCTTCCAAGCTCGGAGCATGCACAGTAGCTTCGATTGCGTAGACAGCGTCAAAACTGGTATCGGGGAAGGTCATTTGCATAAAGTCGCCCTTGGTGAAGCCAACCTGGTCACTAAGACCTTCCTTCTGTGCGTAATGAGTACCACGCTCGACCTGGTAGTCGTTGTTGTTGAGGCCGAGGACCTTGCACCCCGTGAGCTTCGCGATTTCTCTTGCGGGACCACCGACACCGCAGCCAACATCGAGCACCCGCTGGCCCTTAGAAAGGCCCATCTTCAACGCAAGGTAATGCTCATGTCTTGCTAACGCCTGCTTGAATGCCTCGCCCTTGCTGAATCGACAAAAGTGGAAACTCTGTGCCCAGCCATACTCGTAGAGATCGGTCGCGAGGTTGTAGTAGTGTTTGGTGAGGGTCGAATATTCCTTGCGTCTGGTCTCGCGTGTTTCGGCAGTCTCGTCATCGGCAGCTTTGTTGTCCCAGTGCTTGAAGTATTCGTCGACGGCAATTTTCTGAGCATCCTTGTTCTTGCGTATGATGTTCAAGAACGATTTGCTGTCCTGGCCAGTCTTGCCATGCAGCGCCTGTTTGAACTCTGCATCCTGCTTGAGGTCTTGAGGCTCGAGAGTAACAGCAGCCATTTCTCTTTTTTGCGAGTGTCACGCCAGGTAGTTGTGAAGTTGTTGAAGTTGCTTGAGATTCAAAGAAGATGTCCTACGCGGCACACTAGGACCAGGTGGAGGATTGCGCTTTGCGAGGGGAGTTCTGGGAAGAAAGAGGATTGTGAATTGGAAAGTTTCCCAATTGGAGATGGCGATATGGGGGAAAGCTATGCGTATATTTAATTATATATATAGGATTTTCTATATAGGGGTGAGTCCCTGGCTTTGACTCTCTGGCAGGCTCTCAGATTCCAACAGGTTACAGCCGAGACGCTCGGAAGTACGGGTTGTTGTTCATTTTTCCATGGCGCCACTTTCTTGCGCATATCCGACGGGACTCAGGAGCTAGGGCCATGGTAAGCCTTATCTCGAAGGAGGCTGTTGCACATCAACTAGTTCGGTGTTTAAGCTCGATTGGTCACAGTCACAAGTCAGATCTCCATCTTGACTCGAGGCACATCTTGATACAGAGGCGACATCTGTATTAGGACGCATAGAAACGGAGTATGATAGAGCACTCTCAAACACCCAGGACAGGAACTGTAGCCGGATTTCGATTAGAAGGGCCGAGAATTGAGTATGAACGGTAGGAAACGAAATGCTATTACGACGATGAGCCCTTTTACTAGACAGACCAGCACCAATTTTTGAATATCTCTTCTAGAAACTCGGACTTTTATTTTGTTTTGTGGACTAGTGATTAGGATCTGCCATTCGTTTTCTATCTTATCGTTTGCATTGAAGAGGCGGATGCTGATTGGGAAAGTGGGAGCACTCCGAGGGACTTCTTTACGATACCGGAGAGAATTTCCGCTATTTAGATCTGCCCTAACCCTAAATGTAGATACATAGGCATAATCGTTTAGGATTATAGGGTCGATTGTTCTTAGGCCCGGAAGCTCTCCACGTGAGATTTTCAAGGTATTTCAACATCGGAGACTCTTTGACCCGGACGAATCAAGCTTCGGTTATTTCATACGGGGTTAGAAAGATTATGTTATAGGTAAGTGGAGTTAGGGGACGGAGATAAGTGGATGACAGCCAACATAGGAAAGCGATATATCTATCCGATCCATAGATCCTCCCAGGACCCCAGGAATAGCTGAGTCAGCCCCGGATGCACCGCGCCCGGGTATCCGAGCCCTATGTGAAGCGGATAGTTGTAGTCCCGGGGTGGCATGTACAAAGAACATGGCTTACCACTTGCTTGGCTGCCATGTTGAAGTATTAGGTACATGTATATAGAGTCATACTTTGTAACTACATCGCATTGTTCCCTCGTACTTCGGTGCCCGAGTACAAATAAATCCCGAGTGGTCATTGATACCAAAATCTAGAGATATAGCCGTGTTGTTGTTTTCTTGGTACCAAGCCCTCTACGATTAGATTCTACACTCTACAATAACCCTAGAAGGTGTGAAACGCCACTCTTGCTCTGAAACAATCGAGGGATAGACTCGAATCCCTCGCACCCACATACATCACACCTGCAGGCCCCTTCATGCCCACTTATGTCAGCCATCTTAACTGCTCGGTGCCGATCTCTTAAGTACAGCTAGCGCTTGATATACTGTGGGAAAGGAGCAGGGAAGTTCAGCGGATATAGGGATTGAGGACGCTCATAAAATAGAGTTACTGGGACTTGAGGCAGGGGGCAGAGGGCAGTGGGAAGAGGAAAGAGGGAAGGATGAAGACTCTGGGAGGATTGGATTACAGCTTTGCGATTTGGAGGGAATTGAAGTCTCTTCTATAGATCATGAGGTGTAATCTACCTACTTCATAGCGCAGAAGATGTCGACCAGCTCCTCCAACCCATGCCGATGCATCTAAAAGTTGCGAGACTACACATATTTCGCACCTGCGGGCTTTAGGGCACCTATAACAATCCCTACTAATCTCGCCATAGCTCCCGACTCATAATATATACTCACGGTCGTCGCTAGCTCTGCTTCTATACACTGGACTACGTGATCGTGGGGTCTTACCACCACCCGACTGGGGACTCACTTCATGATGCGGCATCGACCTAGGTCAGGCAATTGTGCGGTATATTCGCCGTTTCATACCGTCAACATTCATCAGTTAGGTGAGGATAGGCCGGAGAGGCCGATAATAACGATGACTGAAAGGTTAAGACGTTTATGAACAAGCTGCCGTGAGGAGATCTGGGACGCCAAGGGCTGTGCAATATAACCTCCGATAGAGCGTCAGACGGGACAGATGAAGATGAACATAAGGTATCAATGAGAGCAACTAGGGAGATTTTGCAATGGGGACAACCAGCGGGATCCCAGAGAGACGCAATCTGAAGGCCAAACCAGCAGAAAGCGATCGAGATAGCCTTTTAGCAGAATTCCCGGTAATTCTTTCGGGAAAAAGGCTTTAGTACGCAATCACACAGTGCAGTGGAGGACTGGATTGCGCCCCTTGTTTCTGCTCCTGCGCGATGCTAGGCGACTAGATGACATTACAGCCAACGCCAGCCAGAATGACCACGGGGTTGAGTAGAGCGGCATCTCCGGCGAAATCTAAGGGGCAGTGCATCGAGCTGAAAGACAATGTGTAGGTGACGGTGGGGCTGAGAAAGAAAGTAGTTGAAGGAGGGGAAGAGGGGGAAAGAGGGGAGAAAGTGCGTCGACGAAGAGGAGAGAGGACGAGGGGTCTTTTATAGATGGATGGTAGATGGAGAGGGCGGGAAAAGCGGCCAGGGGAGGCGCTAAGCCCGAATCGGGGGGGAGGGTGCGGTCACCATACCCGAAGGGGCAGGGCAAGTGCGGAGACGGGTAGGCGGTCGGGGGGTAGCAGATGGACGCGATTTCTGGCCCCCTCACTGTATCAACTAGTTAGGTACCTATAGTAGCTAGCTTTAGTCTAGCTAAGGAAACGATAATCTTACTACAGCAAAAACCTTTATACATAGCTTAGTGAGTAGTGTCCTAGCTTCTCATTGAAGTCCTAGAGGTAATACCTTAGAGTACTCCCAACTGTTATATAATAGTCCCTATAGATAGCAACGAAGGGTGACCTAAAATCTATATCATTGATGCACTTTCGAAAATCCATCTGTGGTCGCATATCGAGTCTAAAGGAGGACTCGATGTCGACTTGGACGAGCAATTCTTCTCGCCTAGACAAAAACAGCTTTTCTATCTTATGACGGCTGTTCTCCGGAAGGGTAAGGTTGTTGTGATTGATGAAGTGTCTAGCAGCATTGATCTAGCCACTAATAAAATGATCAAAGAAGTTATTTTCCAGGACTTTGAAGGAACCACGCTTGTTTGGATTGCGCATAGTCTAGACAGTATTCTGGATTTTTATCGCATCGCGGTGCTTAGGGATGGGCAATTGGTGGAATTTGACAATCCCGAAGTATCGTTAAATAGATTAGCGGTGTTTAGGGACCTGTATACTCTAATTATTGCTGCTTGTGGCCAATCTAATTAATTAAGAAGAGTAAAATAGCAAAATTAGACCATCGGGGAACTAACCTTTCTGATTCTCTACTCACGTAGGACTAGTACTATATAGTCATTATAAACTATAACTGTTCCCCGGTGCATATTTTGTATTGTAACTGCAATTTGAATTCAGTGCAACGCCGTAGCAATGCCAATGGTATTATTTACTTATACAGCCAGAGGCAACTAAACCATATTTCCATTGGAGTGGGAGATAAAAATCCCCGAAATAAATCAATACAATCTGAAAAAGAAACCGCTAGTTGCGGGCAAGTCATCAAAGCAAAGACACTTGGATGAAGCGAACAAATAGTCACACATAGTCTATTTGGGGCAAGTGGTATCGAACTTGACCTTGCGGTCCGCGGTGAACAGACCCCAGTGCTGCTCATCCTTCATCTCGCCGTTGTCGCCCTTGGTATCGGGCTTCCAGGACTCATCGAAGGCCTCGAAGTAGAACAGGTCAACACCCCAGTCGAGCATGCCACAGATACCAGTCTTCCAGAACGTCTCAGCATTCTTGGTACCGGCCTTGGCAGCCTCGTAGTCGGAACCGCCATCGGTGGGCCAGCCGGTCTCACCAGTGACAATGTTGATCTGGTCGGCCTGGTCACCGGCAATCTTTTGAATGTGCTCCATGGCACCGGCCATGTCGTCGAAGTAGGTCTGGTAGGCCTTGTCGGCAGCAGTACCCTGCCAGTAAGCAAAAGCGTTGGCCAAGCTATGAAGTAGGTCAGTATTGGCGCGAAAAGGCCCCGTTGTTCTTCTTTTATTTCCCACTTACACATATTTCACGATGGGCTCCTGGGTGAAGAGGGCGTCACCGGTGCCATCGGCGAGCTTGTTCCAGCTCTCGGCGGTGCCGACAAGGACACCCTTGGGCACATTCTCCATAACGTGGCTGATGTAAGTGTGGAGCTGGGGACCAGTCAGGTCACCACGGTAGAGAGTCTCGGATCCGACGGTGATGGCGTGAATGACGTCCTCGTAACCGGGGATGGCCTTCTGGATGGCGGCCCAGTCTCCCTTGAAGGAAGGCTCCTCCAACAGATTCTTGGTGTCGGTAGGCTTGCCAACCCTAAATAGGAAATTTTTGGTTAAAAATAGTTCCAATTATGGTAGAGGGGAATAACCCAAGACTTACCACATGCCGAGAACAACCTTGAAGCCCTTGTTTTTGGCAGCAGGCAGAATGTTTTGAGGAGTCTTGCACTCAGTGCCAGAGTAGGTACGGACGAGAGTGGACAGGCCCTTCAGGGCATCGAAGTCGGCCTCATAGTCGCTGGTGGACTTGCAGGTACCGTCGGCGTTCTTGTCACCGAGCGAGAAACCAAGGGTACCCTTAGCAGAGACCAGAGCCGGGGCAGCGGCCAGCAGGAGGGAAATAAGACCAGAGGTACGCATTGTGAAAGGTGAGGTCGATGAAAAGAGAGAATTCGACCAAAGACTTAAAAAGAGAGTTGAAAAGAATGTAAGGGTTTAAAAGAAAAAAGAAGGTACGTCAGGGTCCAAGAAGAAAGACCCAGAGGATCGGAGATTCGGGGGGGGGGAAATGAGGGTTTAGGCCCTGACAGGGTCTGGCACTTCTCCAGTTCCCCACTGAAGTTTATAGGGGGTGCACATTGAACCAATCAGATTAAAGGAAGCTATTCTTGGACCCGTGGATGAAACAATTCCCCTTTAAGGGTCTGGACTGTTTGGTGATGTATGACTGGTGTGACTTAGTTTGTTTGTCTATATCCTTATATCCTAATACTTTTTTTACAATTATATTCTTTAACCGGATCATAATTCCCTCACACCTTCAAATTCCAATGAGAAATTCTACCCAAGAACTATCTTTGATATCCTTGATATCCTAGATGCAGCCGCAGAGTCGTGATGTCACATTGACAACGCCCAGATGCCTAGATGCCCCGATTCAGACTGATTTCTGGAAAAGCGCCCCCATGTGGAGAGAATTGGAGAAATCGATCGGATGGCAAAGAACTACATTGTGTATCCACACCGCCCACAACCCACAGCCTCGCCGATCCTATTCGCCTCGGAGAAGAGAACCACAGAGAGCTGTCTTTGGAACTGAATTTCCTATGGTTCCCTACAATCTAGCCGGGTTGGACTCTCTTTTCATAGCCGCTTTGTTGCCTCTAGGCCTAACGCAGTGACTTGGGCTCGTGCATCCCAAACCTTGTCCCTTGCAGCCCAAATGTGCTTGAGATATCTCATATCACCTGCAGGTTTCACAATTTGCTAATCGCCATAGTCAACGCCGGTACGTATCCCATACAGAATCCAGATCTACAATGTTGTAGAATTGCCTCTCGTTGTGGATTGGTCAATGGCAACCGAGAGTGGCCCCATATCACTCCTTGCCATCCTGAACCACGTCGGGCCACCCCAATGTCACTGGGAAGTTGAAAGACATGTACAACATACTCTCTACATAATAGAGACTCGGCTTATTCGAGCTTCTATTCCCATGTCAGACCTATACCACGAGTTCACATCTACCTTTCTTGGTAGTATAGCCGAGTCTGGACATTTAATAGTCCAATGACTCTTCTCATAAAAAACACGAGCAAAAAGGTATTTATAACATAGATAGACATAACTCATAGACATTTCCCTTCTGCTGCCCGAAAACCCAAAGCCGATAGTCGGCATTTCCCAGCCTAGCTTCAGTTCCAAGTTTAGAATAATGCTTGGGCCCGATTTAGTAGTAGTATCGACAGTTTGGTCAAGCTGCACTAGTGGAAATAGCATTCGAAAATGTGGAGGGATGACGAACGAATGGGGTGCGTAGAGCCAATGTGTAGGACGACAGGGGTAGGATGAGTAAGGGGCGTATTTGGTGGATGTTATTATTCGGGAAGGGAATGATGGAAATATGTTGTACTCGAATATACGGGTTTTTAGTTCTGCGGTAGGTTGGTTAGTTAGAATTGAAGTGCTAATTGTGTACTCCGTACTCCCTACTGAGCCCCGAAGTATGTGAGTGGGGGCTTGTCAGAATGTTCGATGCATGGAAGTGGTTCTGTGGCTTGGGAGTTCCTGGGGTTAGCCGAAACTGTGTGGAATGCAAATGTAACCATTGTATTGTGGCCAGGCTACCTACCCACTTGATTGTTTTAGTGCGCTGCTATTGATTGTAAGATTTCAGCTACTGTTGACTAGCTCTATCATACAAAGTGTTTTGGACATGATTCATAGAGGGTATGATGATATCCGGCGATGATCGCCGGTCTAGATAATGAACAAAAAAAGACGCCATGTGGTTTCTATTGCCTCCAGCCATTTTTGCTGGGGCTACTTGTGTGATCCTAAACTTTAGATCCCCTCCCAAACCGAACGCCTGCTAGCCCAAATCACAACGCAAAATTTTTCTCCTTTAGGTAGAGCTCCCTGAGGGTGCTCAGCTGGGTCACAGCCATTGTCTCCCGCTCGAGCTTGCGGGGGAGGTCGACGATGACGTAGTGCATCAAGGCGAGCCCATACTGACCAAAAAATCCTATGATGCGCTCGCCCGACGATCGGAGGAGGGCTGCCAGGAGAGCAATTTGCGTCTCCTGCAACTCTGAAGGTGGGATCGCCAAAATCTTGTGGATAGAAGCCCAGAACATGGTGTTCGGGAACGGGTTGCGACGTGGTGACTTTGCAAAGTTGCGAAGGGTCATAGCAGCATATCCCGCACCGAGAGCGGTCATGCGATCCATGTGAACTTGTTCGGAAACCCAGGAACCACTGTCTGCAGAACGCCACCAACCCAGGACACGACGTCCGCCCTCGGTCTTGTCATTGCCTGTGAATCCCCACAAAGCCGGGCAGACGACACGGTATTTAGCCCACATGATGTCGGACATGTGTACTCCTTTGTACGTGAACATATCAAATGAGAAGATCTGAGCAGCAATGATGCCGATCGGCTCGGCGTGGGATTGTTTGATGGAGGCTTCGGCCAGGAGAGAGGATATCAAGCTCTTTGCAAGAATGTTTAATCCATAAATAAGCATTGCCGGTACCTTGTTCTCCGAATTTGCAATCTCCTCAGGTGGGAATGCGATGAAATTACGGATGTCCACTGTTGGCTCTGGGTAGGCAAGAGCTTTCTCGAGTTCGGATTTGAGATGAATGATCTGAGGTTCGTTCAAACAATCAGTATCTAGACATAGACATCCGATCATGGGGGAGGGGTTTTGTACCTGTTGCTTATTTGCACCGGTTCCAGCTCGAAGCTGGCCAACGGATTTCTTGATAGAACGCCGTAAATTGCCCATAGTCGCCTTGAGGTCAGGCTGGGTTTGGCCAATGTCCTTGAGCCATTTGCGCATTCCTTTGAGTGTCTTATGTAGCTCAACGTAACGTTGCTGCTCTTTGATTTCCTCTGCCGAAAGGTTTCCAGCACCAAGTTTCTGCTGCTGTTGGCTGCGGGCCTTTTGGTCGACCTCTTCCTGCACCTTCCGAGCCTCCTCATCCTGCTTGCGCTTCTGGGCGTCGGCCTGCTCGCGTTCCTTGCGAAGCTTCTCCTCAACCGCGGCTTTGCGTGCGGTTTCAAGGGCAGCGGCTTTCTTAGCCGCCTCCTCCTGGGCCTTTTTCTCGGCCTGCTCTTTGGCTTGGCGTTCGGCCTCAACGCGTGCGGCTGCTTCTCGTTCGCGGCGTGCTTTTTCGGTCTTCTCGCGTTCAATTCGCTCATGTTCCTTGCGGATCGCTTCTTCCTTCCGCAGGCGCTCTTCCTCTTCGGCGAGGAGGTGATCCTTCAAGGTTGTCTCTGCTTCCTCGCGGACGCGGTCGTGGAAGGCGGCAGCCTGGTCGAGAGCGGCTGTGTGGACTGCTTCACGCTCACGGTCGATCCGGTCAAGATTTTCGTAGAATTGTTTTCGCTCATACTGGTGTACCTTTTTCAGATCCGCGTCAAAAATTTTGACTTGCTCAAGATCGCGGACGAGGTCAAGCATAAGCTGCTTAGACGGGCTGTCCAAAGGTGGGACATGGGTTCGGAACCGAGCCATTGTGGGGGTCGACATTTGAGTAAATGATTTCTTTATTCCGAATCTCGCTGGCCGGGAGTGGTGGAGTGGTGTGTGTTTGGGGAAAGATTGTGGAGGTTCGGAGGAGTAGTGAGGGGAAAGGGTAGTCAAGTGAATATGAAGAACTCAAGTGACTGGGATCATATCCGTGGCCAGAGTAGTTCAGAAGTGCCTTGAGCATAGAACAATCTCCCAAAGCGAAGTGAGGTTCACGACTGATACCCGGATCAATCTGAATTTGAAGGTAGGAGGAAGGAGGAACGGGACGGCGTGAGGGTAATTGCACCAAACGATTTGAAGAGACGGAGGAAGAAAGTAAATTGCGCGTGTAGCGAGCGAATAATTCGACGTTGTCGCGTCAGAACTAGCAGAAGGGAGGGTCCATGGAGATTGAAGCTATGGGAAGGTTGGGATTAGCATATATGTAGCTTTCGAGGGGCACAAACAAAATCAAGCGTTTGGCTGCATTGCGTAACCATCCAATGATAAGCAACTTGAAATTTCAACGTACATCAATGTACCTTTTGACCTTCAATATGTCCTCAAATGGTCAGAGCCCTTATCTTGAAGCCAAAGAAAATAAATTACCTGTAAAGTTCAATCTTACCTCCAAAATTTGAACTGTTTTCACCGCCTTCTCATCACCGCCTTACTGTATTGACCACTACTTTCGAAATATCAGCCTATTAAACACCCTTATCCTAGTACTTCAAAAGTTTGATAAACATACGGAATGAAGCAAAGAGCGATACAAAATTGATTTAGACAGCAACTCACATCAATCCGCCGATTTTCTGGTATTTCACTGTCAGTATACAGCCATAGAGGGTCTTCTAGACTCCCCCGAGGACCCCCAAGACAAATGAGTAAGCAAGACCCGCGAGCCGGTTCGGTTCCCTGGTGCGCTCCCGCTTGGAAGCGTTGACGTTTACATCATTGTGAGCATCATCCATTTTAACCTACCCTATATAATTGGGAGAACAAAATACAAAATGATCAGGTTTCTCCGGTCATACCGTACTTGAGCTTGCTAATAGGCTTTTATCTTAAGGTTGCTATGTGCAATTAGCTCGGATACCGTTCCTCTAGCTTTAAAGGACCCTAAACTAGCCAACCCACCACTAGCTGTTCTATATTTGAACATATTGTACAGAGCACTAGGGGAGAGTCCGTGTTTCCGGGTATGCAGGCTGGACGCCGGCTCCCATTTCTGTGTAGACTCCAATGATCACACTAGATACATTTAAGTGGGGACTCACAGCAGTTCAACGGATGCATCAGGATGATGATGAAGTGGTAGCAATGGCGATCATCCACGGCTCCTGATGGAACGGAGTACGATAGATAACTGTCAGGGTATTTACATGATCCACTCCGGGATTATTGCGCTAAAAGTTGTAATAAAACCTTGTTCGGTCATTTCCGAACACACCCTCTGCTTTCCGTACCAATGGCCCTCTCCCCACACCTCTTTGTATCTCCAGCATCACCTTTCTTCTTCTCCTTTCCCCCCCTCCTCTCTGTTCTTATCCCCATCCCTCTCTTCTTCCCCCCCATTATCGCTCCTTCGAGTCGAATTAGTCGATGGTTTCATCGTCTATTCTATCCTTCCCTCTAATTTCAGTATTTACTGTCATTCTCTTCGGGGATCAACTCTGAATCCCCGTTTTAGAACTTTGGAATCATCCTGAAGACAAGCTCGTTTCAACAGCTTTCTTCGCTTAAAGCCCACCCCGGTCCTTCATCGAGGTGCTTTTTGTCGAATTCCCCTTTTTGTCGGTTGCAGTCGTGCTTTCCAGCACAGCTCCATCCCCTCGGTCCTTCCAACTCCTGTTCGAAGCTTCATCCCGTTGCTACGGTATTGCTCGATCCAAGCTTGCCTTGAACGTGCAATTGCCTCGACTTCTACTTGCCACCATCCGGTTGTCCCTCGTCACCTCTTGGACTTGTAACAAAAAAAAAAAAGGGCGATCATCCCACATTGAACCCAGCAGACGTCATTTTGGAATGCTAGGGTTTGGAGGTCGTCGTTAGTTTCATCTTGCAGGTAAGAGGATCGTGATATACTCCACACATTTCCTTTTGGAAGTTTCACCCGGCCTTAGTTGCCCTTGCTGCTTTTTGATTGTTATTTGTGAGGTCATTGTCAAGTCTGCTTCTTTCCCCCTGAGATCGAAGCTTCCGTTGAGTCCGCCCTTACCTCAGGACTTGTACTTTTCATGCTCGCTCTAACATCGCCTTGTTCCCCTCTTCTTGCTTTCTCTTGCTCCTTCTGCCATCCTACGCCCTTACTAATCCACTCTTTGTCACTCTTCTAGGATAATTCACGTATTGAAAAACACAATCCGCACATACAGACTCCTTTTGGTCGGCCTGTGATCCATCTCACTTGGCTCATTTGCCTTTTGGCGCAGTACCAGTCTCTCCTGTCGCCGGATTCACCCCGCCAAACACACACATTACATTCTACAGTAATTGCCAGCTTCTGTCATCTGGGATCATGGATCAACAGAGTCAATCCGGGCCTCAGGGCCCCGGTGGCCGCAAGTTCCATATTGCTCATCGGAGAAGTCCATCTGAGCTCACCCCGCTGATGAGTATGTGACCGCCCTAGTGACCGCCCACTATAAAACCATAGTCCCATCATCTCAGCTAACTTGGAACTTGTCTACAGTGGAACAACTGGCCATCCAACAACAGATCGAGTTGCTCCAGCAGCAGCAGCAACAAATTGCTGCGACACACCAACAATACGTTAACATGGGGCTGTTGCAGCCCCAGCAACTGGGCCAGGTGCCCTCGTTTCAACCCGGTGCTTCCATGGGCGGTGTCTCCCCACAGCAAGTGAATGCATTCCAGTTCCCGCAGGGCGGACAGCAGCAGCAGCTTGGAGTACCAATGAACGCACCAAACCAGCATTCGCACCGTCGCAATCAGTCTGCTCTCCCTGGTCTTCCCATGGGCCCTCCCCCTGCCCCGTCTTCAGGGGCATCGGGATACGCCGATTATAACCAGCAGGGCCAAAACAACAATACCCACAAGAATGAGAACGCCGGCCGCGGTCGTGGAGGTCCTCCTGGCGGTGGTCACCAGCGCCGCCACTCGCTTGCTCTTCCTGAGGCCAAGAAAGCCGCCGAGCTGGCCCAGCAGAAGAGAACAGCTTCGGGATTCCAGTTCCCAGCTCCCGCCCCTGGTGCAAGTGGTTCTGATAACCAGTCTTCATCAGATGACAAGCCTACATCTAGCACTTCTCCAGCACCTCAGGGACCCCAGGGACCCCAGGGACCCGCCTTCCAGCGGGCCGGAAACATGCGGGCTGGCGGCCATGGCCGCAGCCAATCGATGGCTATCGGTGGTAACCGGGCTTCCATCTCCGGTCGCGGTGCCGGCGGCTTCCAATTCCCCCAAGCCAGTGAGCCATCAACCAACCAATCTGATAATCAACGGCGACCCAGTCAGGCTGGCCATGCTCGGTCATCCTCGCGAAACTTCGAGGGCAACTGGCGCCAGCCCAACAACCAAAATCAGGGCCAGGATCAGCAGAGGTCCGTCAGTCAGCAGGGTGGATTCCAGCCCGGCCACCGCTCGCGCGGCTCGATGAACCAGTCCATGGGCTCTATTGGTCAATTCCAGTATAGCAGCCAGCCACAGATTGGCCAGCCTCAGCTTATCCAACTTCCTCAGGGCCAAGTCATGATGGCACCTCAGATGTTCAGCGGTCAGCAACTGAACCCCCTCCAGCTGGCTCAGCTCCAAGCACTTCAGCAGCAGAGCGCCCAGGGTATGGGTGGTCTTCAGGCGAGCCAGCATGCCCCGCCGCAGATGTCTGTTCAACAGCAACAGCAGCAACAGCAGCAGCGGAAGACCCTTTTCACTCCTTACCTTCCCCAGGCAAACCTGCCCGCACTCCTTAGCAATGGCCAGTTGGTTGCTGGTGTTTTGCGTGTCAACAAAAAGAACCGTTCCGATGCTTATGTGACCACCGATGATCTGGATGCCGACATCTTCATTTGCGGTAGCAAAGATCGCAACCGTGCCCTTGAGGGTGACTATGTCGCAATCGAGCTTCTCGATGTTGACGAAGTGTGGGGTCAAAAGAAAGAAAAGGAGGAAAAGAAGAAGCGCAAGGATATCACTGATGCCCGCTCTAACAGCAATGCTGGAAATGACAAGCTTGGTCGCTCCGATTCCACTGGGGATAGACAGGAAGTTGGCCCGGATGGAAGCATTCGTCGCCGTGGTAGTCTTCGCCAGCGCCCTACACAGAAGAAGAACGACGATGTCGAGGTCGAGGGCCAGAGCCTTCTTCTGTGCGAGGAGGATGAGATCAGCGATGAGCAGAAGCCTTTGTACGCAGGACACGTTGTTGCTGTCATTGAGCGTGTTGCGGGTCAGATGTTCTCGGGAACCCTGGGTCTCTTGCGTCCCAGCAGCCAGGCTACAAAGGAAAAGCAGGAGGCCGAGCGGCAAGCCAGAGATGGCGCCCATGGCCGTTCGCATAATGACCGCCACCAGGACAAGCCAAAGATTGTTTGGTTCAAGCCTACTGACAAGCGTGTTCCACTTATTGCCATCCCGACAGAGCAGGCACCTCGTGACTTCGTTGAGAAGCACCAGGACTACGCCAACCGAATCTTCGTTGCTTCTATTAAGAGGTGGCCTATTACCTCTCTGCACCCCTTCGGCACTCTCGTTGAGCAGCTTGGAGAGATGGGTGACTTGCGGGTTGAGACAGATGCCCTGCTTCGCGACAACAACTTCGGTTCGGATGACTTCTCCGATGCTGTGCTGAAGAGCATCGGCTGGGAGGACTGGTCCGTCTCTAGCGAGGGAGATGCCCTGGCTTCGCGACGTGACTTCCGTGAAGAGACCATCTTTACGATTGACCCCGCCGACAGCAAGTCCCTTGAGGATGCGTTCCATGTGAAGAGCCTTGCAGATGGCAAGGTTGAGATCGGTGTTCACGTGGCCGATATTGCTCACTTTGTCAAGGGTAA